ACTGTTTGTAAGACACTGCTGTGCACAATTGGCTGCCATGTTTTGCCCACAAATATACAGTCAATTCACTTTATAGTATATTCTGTGAAGTGCTTTGAGAATCTAGAAGACATGAAAAGCGCTATATCAAATGCAAGGATTACTATAATATGTATCATGGTGGGAATTGCTAAAAGTGCACATGGTGTTGAGAGGTATTATATTCAAATTGACACAGTAGAAGAAAAAATCTAATTTTCAGTTTAGCTACTTTGTTGAAATTGTCCAATGAACCATGTTCATTTTGTACCTGATATATCAGCCTCCAGTTATTAATATAGACTGTTCCTTCTGCAGCAACAGCCTTAACTTCATAACACACTGATTCATTTGTTTCCTAATAATAATATCCTTTAGTGTTTTGTCAAAATCCTGGATTTTTACAAATGTATTAAGACATTTTCTCTTTTCTCATTCTGTGATCTCTCTGCACCAATAATCTAGCATCCTGCTTTCAGCCTTGTTTCAGAGGGCATCTTATAGATCTATACAAGTGATCATTCTTTGCTAAGTAGGATAAAGTATCCCCAGAACAATACTTTCAGATCTGCTAAGACCAAAGAATGAAGTAACAAAGGTTCAAAGATTGTGAAGTATACCATGAAGTATTTCCTTAAAATAGAGGATAGTCATTATGTTACCAGGAAAGTTAACAGAAGTCAGCACACTGGACTAATTTAAGAAACAAATTACTTTGGATGTTCTGAAAGGATGAAATCAAAACGATATAAAGACCTTCCTTCTCGGTACCTCTCATGTGATCTTGTATAAACAAAGCCACTCCATGACCGCCCTCTCAGAGGCGCACATGATGGGTGCAGGGTGGCTTTCTTACTGGTGTCCCCTGCTGACCTGTGCTTGGCAATTCATCCTGATGATGTGACTGATTATATCTGCAGTGTGGGGAAATAATTCCCTCATCCAGCCATTTGTGTTGTAACCGATTACAGATGTGATAGTTTGGTGGGTTTTAATCGAGGTGCCTTCCATCGTTGAATAGTGTACCAGAATTCACGGCCTCAGCTCATAGATGAAGAATGATCACTTGGTGTAATAGCCATACACCATAGGTTCACCAAGAAAATGCACCTCAGCAAGAATCACTTCCTGAAAGAGAAGGTGAGAAAACGGAAGAAAACTGAATGCTTATCTGACCTCTCTGTAAGGGAATAATAAATGGTGATGAGCAGTTCTTGTAAATAAACTAATAAAATAGACGAAAGGAAGAGCAGGGATAGAGGGGAAGAGGAGCAAAATAACTGAGGACTGATACAGAACATGTCCAGCAGTCACTGTTGTTTTCTATCTCAACATGTTTCTGGACTGGATTCAATCTTTGCTGCGGAGATGAAAGAGCAATGATCTAACCCACAGTGCTTCAGGTTCAGCACAGGGTGAGTTATAACACAAATTGAAAATAAATAGGCACTGTGATATAACAATTCCAGCAGCACCTTCACGCCATTCAAAACACCAACAAGATCTGGTAACCACACATAGGATTCTATGCTTGGAATTCCCAAACTTTTATTTATATTGTATGTTATGTTCTTTGGACTTGTCTATATCACACTTCTCTGTCATATTTATAATAATGATGTCAAAAAACTGGTGAGTCTACATGTATGCAACACTAATAGGAAAGAGTTGTAACTTCATTATTTATCAGCATGTAAATTTATGAACTCTGAATCTTGTCTCTGGAGAACATCACTTGCTCTTGATCTTCCCACATGGAACAACCTCGGATATAGATCTCCTTACACCACATTTGTGTGTGCATTTCCATTAAAATCAGGACAGTTCTAAAATGACAGACAAACCCTGTGTAGATAAACAGTTTTGCATTGCAAGGAGAAACCTGCTGCCCCCAGCAATTCCTGAATTTGTTGATTGACTTCAGCCATTGAAACGATTGCCTTTTCATTGAATTCCTTACAAATTGTTATGGTTAGTGTCAAATACTTCTGGTGTATGGCTAATATTAAGCAATCAACTGAACAACCAATTGAATCACAATGTAGATGGGACCTAAATCAATGACTCAATCAAAAAAAAATATTTAAAATGGTTGTATACAATATTGTGAATAGTTATATAGACAAACTCAGCAGCTAATTTGTGTCAGCAATATCCCACAAAAACAAAGAACCAATCAAATGAATAAATATATAATACTTAAAATTTTCATTACGCACCTTAGTGTCATCTAGCCTTATATATATCAACTTGGTCAGTTGGCAGAAGTCTTCCCCCATTGAATCAGAAGTTTGTGGGTTCAAGGTGTACACATAGACCTTGCTAATACTCTACTGCATTGCTAAGACAGTGTTTCATTATTGGAAGTGTTATCTTTTGGATATGACTAATTTACCAATTTTTTCATCTTTTCTCCAACTTTTCAAGATTGAGACTAAGTCTCCAGGGAGAGAGTGCGCATTCCATTCCAATGATCTATCTCTGGGATTTCCATGTGTTGGTGGGATGCATGGAAATCTCAGCTTGGTTTGGATACTCTCAAGCATGATGATGGGTTTCAGCATGTGTCAGACACCCAAAACATAATCGGTGGTGTTTCCCTATAGTTAGACAGTAGAGCCTCATTATCCCGTAGCAGTTGGGGCCCATTAAGTGCTAATCCAACTTATGCACAGGAAATGACATTACAGGTGACTTTTTGACTCAGAGGTTGACCATTGTTGAGCACATGGGAACCAAGCACCATTTTGAAGATTTACATAATGATTTGAAGTGAGCCAGAAAGATTTCGGTGCATATTTCTGATTTTTGTTTGGTAAATGTTGAGGTCAATAACCACTACAGGCAAACCGTCTGCAACCGAGTGCCTTATATTGAGGTTCTACTATATCAGGTAAAGACAACTTGAAGAATAGCAGATGATAAGTTCAGATGAATTTTATGATGATTGAGTGACACCTATGAAAACAAACTATAGCTGTTAACATGAAGATGCTCAGGTATCAACAATGATTCTTTGGTGAGTCAGAGGGCAAACACACTGTTGTACTGAGTAAAACAGACCAGGATCATACTGGTGTGGCGTGGTGAGCAGAGAGCAATAAATATTATAAATGGTCTTTGCATCTGGCTTATGAGGTGGGGGGTGGGGGGGGTTGTCTAGTTCATGAGCACTATCCAGTAATCCTTTGCTAGAAAATATAGTGCAAAAAATGCTGGGCGTGCTGTGCAAATTATCAGGTCACATCATCATGAATTAGTTACCCATTCATGTGTAGTCTATGCATTGACTGTAAGTGAAGGCAGGAAAAGACTCAGTTGTGATGCTGACCATGAACAAATTATCTACTGCCACTCACTGTCCAGACCTAATCTTCACTGATAGTTACCATCTTGACCTACTTATGAAGAATGGCCACTTCAGCGAGTTACCAGAAAACTGTCAATACCAATAGAACCATTCCACAGTATCATCAACTGTGTTGATGGCAGAGAGGAAAAACTCTGGGACAGGAAGAATAAAACATGGACAGATGTCTCTCATAGGTATTTTGAATAGGTCTTTGTGGACTATTGTACCAAGAAACACATGAAAAAAGTAACACTTGCATTTAATAAAGCACTTGATCATCTCAAAATATTTAAAAACGTTTCGCACAATGAAGTTACTTTCAAGTATGGTGTACAGAAAAATGTGGCAGCTAATCTCAGTTTGATATCTCATCTATTGCACTGTGAAGATCCAAAATAGAACCGGTCATTCCATTAATTCACAATCCAATTTTTTTTCCTGTTAGAGAAGTGGATTTTGGAGGAAAATGTCCCATACGTACACGACAACAAAAACAAATTGCATTATGTAGCGCCTTTCGCGTCGGGAGGCCCCAAGGCGCCGGGTAACAAAAAACAATCTTGAATTACTTGCACACAGTGTTTTTGCTTTTTTTTTCCTTCCTGTTTTAAAGACCTTAGAGTTAAGTCAGAGTCAGGCATATACAATTGTGTGCAGGATTCTATATTTATGCATCCTTTCACATATCCCCACAAATTAGAGACTAGTTTCCAAGGTTTACCTGACAGTTTACAATGGAGTGCAACTACAGCATTGTGGCTCATGTATAGTTATCATTCCAGCTGTAAGTGAGAGTGAAGGGGGGGAAGAGTGAGTGAGGTGAGAGGCACAGAAGGCGATTGCATTCCATGTATGTGCAGACAGACCTACATTGGGACAGTCTGCCCTCAGCTGTTCCATATACTGCCTTTCCCCAGTCACCATCGCCTCCTTTCCCTGCGACTAAATCTTCCTTTGCAACACATCTCAAAGTTTGGAAACGGTATCTTACATCTGGACGAATCAGTCAGTCAACCCTTTTTTTTTCCATCGCAAAAAACACCTATTAAATGCATGTTATAGCATCATCAAAACAGAGTTGCTTGACGGTGGTGTACGAAGGGCAATGAGATGGGGATGGGGGTGGGGATGGGTTCCTGCCCCTTTGACTGAGAGGAGGGCGACATTCTGCTGAAGCTTTAAAACCTTTGGTGTTAGTTTATTCTCGGGACTCCAGTCCAGGCTTTGCTGCAGACTCTGTTCCTGTGATCCGAGAGCATCCAGAGGCGGAGGGTTTTTATTATTCCAGACTCTCCTACTCTGAGCTCTCTCTCTCTCTCTCTCTCTCTGTGTGTCAGTCTGTCCGAGTGAACTTCACAGATCACACACACACACACAGAGGATCCATAAGCTCTGCAACACTCGGGCTGCAGCGGCGAGGAGGAGAGACGGTTCCCTGTGTGTTTTCCAGGGGAAGGGGGGGATTAGAGCCGTTCCCAGATCTCTGTTTGCCCAGAGGTGCATACGTTTATTTTTCTCCCGATCCACCACCCGGGGGGGAAATAAAGTGGAATCGCCGATCGTCACCTGGAGAGATCCCCTCCCCTCCCCCCTCCCCTCCTCAGCAGTGTTTGACAGGACTTTAAGGGGAGTTGTGCGGGGGGTTTGGGGCTCAGGGGCCAAACCAAACCAAGTGGATTCGCTCTCGCACTCAACACAGACACCGAACCACATCTGCACACAGCACCATGTCCTGGATGGCTGCTCTCTCGGCGGTGCTGTGGGCTTTGACCGCCACCCGGGGCTCGGGAGTGGCTGATGTGAAAGCTCGGACCTGCTCTGAGGTCAGACAGGCGTACAGTGCCAAAGGATTCAGCCTCAGCAACATCCCGTACCAGGAGATCTCGGGTAAGGACTCACTCACTCACTCACTCACTCTGTGTTGGCCATAGACAAGGCGATCGTGGGACCAACTTACTGACATCCTGACAGACAGACAGACACAGACACAGACAGACAGACAGACAGACAGATACAGACACAGACAGACTGATTGACAGACAGACAGACAGACAGATACAGACAGACTGATTGACAAACAGACAGATACAGACACAGACAGACTGATTGACAGACAGACAGATACAGACACAGACAGACTGATTGACAGACAGACAGACAGATACAGACACAGACAGACTGATTGACAAACAGACAGACAGACAGACAGACAGACAGACAGACAGACAGACAGACACAGACAGACTGATTGACAGACAGACAGACACAGACAGACTGATTGACAGACAGACAGACAGACACAGACAGACAGACTGATTGACAGACAGACAGACTGATTGACAGACAGACAGACAGACTGACTGACTGACTGACTGATTCACTGACTGGTGCTGAAACTTAAGAGCTGGTCGTTGCTGTTCGTGATACACATTCAGCTCTTTTTTCTTTCTCAATACTAATAATAATACTAATAATAATAACAGTGAAAAAGAAAAAAACAATGAAACTCCATTCGGGATGGAATCAAATATGTGCAGTGGTGCAGAATGAAATAAAATCAAACAACACGTTAGTGGAGTTTTCGGATTTGGTTTTGCACCTTTCTGGTTTGTTTTTCTATAGTTTTGAACAGCAGTGTTGCCCTTCCAACTCATCTTCCCTGTGAGTGGCACTGTGGGCAAAGGGTACCACCTTCTGCTTTGATGTATCCGCACATGTTAAATTGTGCCCATCCAACAGCAGGTCCCCACATACTGAGCACCAGATAAAGGATTTATTAAACTGTTTCAACTGCTTTCTCATTTGCAGGTTATTGAATCAGATTCAGCAAAATTGTTTATGAGATGGCAAACACCAGACTTGCTCCTGTGTCGTTGCCCACAGTATTCCAGTCAGTGCTAAACGTGCTACGAGAATTAAAATACTCATAAAAGGTTTTGCAAGCTTCGAGGTCGAAGTGGAAGGAGGCTTCACTCAAATTATTATTATTGCAGGAGGTGTACTTTGTTAAATCATTCTTAAATGTGAACTGTGTGGGGGAGGGAAGGGGAAATCTCCACTGTGCATGAGGGATTTGGGCCACTACATGCATATAAAATCCAACCAATATGGGTCAGCAGTAGTAATTATGTAATGAGTGTCTTTTTATGTGTTTAAAGTTCACAATTTACTGGGACACATCATTCTAAACGACTGGCATCATGTCAGAACCATGCAACAGGGTTGCAATTATCAACAGCTGATGTCTAGTGTTGGAGCTGCTGATTTAGAATGGACCCAACAGATCAGAGCTGAGGGATCTAAATACAGCTTTTGTTTAACCAAGACTGAATAATGTAATTATTTAAGATAGAATGATTCAGGATAGATTCTACAAGCGTTATGGTACACTTGGGATTTCCAGTCTACTCTGTGCAGACGTCTTAAGAAACAAAGTGATTTAGATCTTAGAGTTGTACTTTATGTTGCTGAAATATTTTGGGGTAGCAGTTTAAATTCTCACCCTACCGTACAGGTAGTCTCAACAATGTCAGGATGAGATAAGGATCTGATCTCAGGTGAGAGCTTGGTTTCCTGATCATAATAATAATAGTGATCCTTCTATTTGATATCGCGCCTGTCAAATCGGGAGGGCGTCTCAAAGTGTTTCACAGGATACTGTAAAGTGTAGTGACTGCGTTTATTATAGAAAACATATTATAAATATATTACAAATATAAACGCTGTTGGGCCTCAGATTTCCGATCAGTAACTATTTGTGATTTGATTGTGTTTATACAATATTTATATAAAATCAAAATGCAATTCAAGAATTACATGTGTGTATAAAATGCCAATATATGTAATTGCAAACTCAGTTAATAAGATCATGTCAACTTATGTGCCTTTATATCATGCAGCTGTTATGTCCCTTACTAAATTGGTGCAATAAAGTGATAAAACAGATAAGATCTCTTAATACATCATTTTGCAATTTCTTTCTCATCAGATCCCAGTGTTGTCATTAGACATAAATGAATAGAGAATTCCTCTGTAGCCCTGTAGAAATTTCCAGTTATCGTGGTATAAATGTTCTTAAAGTTACATAGTATTCACTGCTTTTATATCTTAGCCAAACAGTCCCCATTCCCTTACTCATTCACTTGTGGGACATTCCTTGCACAAATTGGCTGCCGCGTTACACGGTCACTAAATTTCCCAGTAAATCCTGTGGAATGCTTTAAACCATCCTCCCGATGTGAAAGGCACTACGCCAATTGCCAGAATTATTATTGTTATCTTTCTAAATGTTCTTTCCTCTTCCTTTGGGTTTCATTTTCCATCTATTGAAACAGTACTGAAAATATTACCACTGTGATTCTTTTAGACGTGTTGTTGTAAGCATTCCAAGTAAGGAACTGGCCTTAAGGGGAAAAATGGATAGAGTATTAAGAGTAAACAATTAATATTTACAGCAGTGTTTGTCAATTTCAAGGACTGTATTGAAAATTATCTAACAAGTGTTCATTGTATACTCAGGCTGATTTAAAAGTGGGGATGCCAATTTAATTTTAGTTTTGAGATGGTTACAGGGTACGATGTAGTTTGTTATTGATTTCATTTAAGCTTGCCACATACCTTTGCATACCTTACTTGTTGTACAATATTTACTTTAGGTCCATAACACTAAGCATCTTGCCTAAAATAATATTGCATTTGATAAGAAAATGTTCACACTTGTTGGAGCTGCAAATGTTTCCTTTTGAGTTATGTCCCCACTCACAGCAGACTAGTATTTAGCTGCTATTCAACATTTTTTCCATGATTTTGAACACTTTTCAACCTTTCTGCATACAATGGTCCTGTGTAATTAAAGTAAAATAAAATATAAAGAAAGAGTATTTAATCAGTTCTGATAACCACTGTGATTCGTTGTGCTAATCCGTGCTGTATAATTATGCCTGTGAGGTACTGGCATCCTAGTGGCAAATGAGAAGCTGATCATTTATCACCAGCTTTAATTATCAGCATTTAATTAACAGATTTACTAAGATCCAGCAGTGTTTTTGTTTCCTTTTCTAGAGTGTGCCACTTCTTTGTTCAAAGGTGCTATTCTGTTTTTCAAGCCTGAATCATTATGAGAAATGCTTCTGAGAATTCTGCAGTGTTTAACGTAGGGTTTCCTGACTTATCAAATAGTTCACTTGGTAAAGGACTTCAAAAGTGTGCAATAAGTTCAAGTTGTTGTAGCAAGTCATTACATTGTGCAAAATCAAGCCATGTAGCAGTAAAACATTTTTTACCTCGCAATAAATAGGAATCCAGTTGTTAGTCAATTGGTGGATCGCTTTTCCAGGAGTAATAATTCCTTCAATAAAAATATGAAAATAATAATGAATTGGTCACTCAATCCACGACTCTTTGTGGCACACACCTGTGTGCAATTGGCTGCCCACAAAATATAGTCAGTTCACTTTACAGTATATTCCGTGAAGCTCTTTGAGATGTCTCGAAGACGTGATAATACGCTATATCAAATGCAAAGACTATTATTGTGTAGACTGTGTAATCCCAGATTTGAATGCCTAACAATGCTGCATTAACTGATCTCAACTGGAGTACAAGTTTGGGTGTCCCAGCACCCTGGGCAAAGAGAGGAAAAGTATTTTGAATTCCTGATCCTGATCATCATGAAGAGTGTGTGAGAATACAATTGAGCTCAGCTGCAGTGTTCCCGTTGATCAGCACTCTCACACAAGTCAGCAAGTTTAGAAAGCAGGGGCAACATTGGAAGGTGAAATTAAAATACTCTTGTGTGTTTATGTGTATGGACATATAGTATATAAATATTTATTGGTAGATATATGTGTATATGCAGGTTTTCTATTTGACAGAACTAAGTAGAAGTGAAATGTAATCGATTTCCTTAACCCACTCCCTAAATGTTGCCTCTGGATACTTGTGTAGTAAAGCTGGAAAATCAAACACAAATTTATTTAGGAATCTTTTCGGGTAAAAGAAAATCAACATTTGGAATGCAGAATACTAATTACTAACATTTTATGAAAGCTAAGGTATTGTTGCTATTTTGAATTTCACTCAACATGTAAAACTGTAATCTGTTTGAATTTATAATGTTCACTAACAAGATCCCTGTATCTGCAAACAGTAATTTGTTAGTAAATACTCTGTTGCTGCATTCAGTTTCCAGGGAAATGTATCCTATTTGACTAATGGCGAAGCAAGCACAATTAATAATGTGAAATAACATCCAATTTTAAAATGTGTACCAACTGTTGTATACAAATTTACATACCTTTTTGTACTGCAGTGCAATTAATTTATTCAAATTTCAAACAGAGCTCAACATAAGGGTAATTTACACAGAAGTGATCAGATTTCTTAGAATGCTCCCTTGCATTGTGCAGAACAATAACATCTAGACAATTGAGTCATATTTTATGTATGAATTGCATGATGTACAGTACATTGAAATGTACAGGATCAGGATTTCTGTATTATGGAGTTTGATTTAGATTATGGAAATGATATGCTTGGATGCAGGCTTTAATAGGATCAGGTATGTGTTTTATCTGGTGACCAGTATATCAGGTCATTTGGATAAATTCAGTCAACCAAGGCTCTTTTGTGAAGTTTATTTTGATAACTCTGAAAAAAATATTGAATTGAAATGGAATTTGCAAGTTAAAAAAATGATGGCAGAAAAATTACTGAACAAGACAGGTATTTTGAATTCAATGCAAATTTTACCTAGAATGAGTCCCACTATGAATCTAAGTATTCTTCAGTCTAGTGTGATGGTGTGAATTTAACTATTTAACTATTTATGCATGGTATCATAGTGTGCAACTGAGGGCTTGTCGTTCTGCATCAGACCAAAAGGAGGC